TTGTGTGTGTAACTTGCTCATGTGTGACATTGCTTCAGTGCCATGGATTGGGGAGGTGATCCTATAGGGCAGGGAGATCACAACAATCATCAAGAGACATCAGCGGTCGTTGGCAATGTTCCTGAGGACTGCGAGGGAGAACAGGGCAAAGTTGGATATCAAAGACTGGAGGCCATTGGAGTTGATCCAACCAGGGGAGACTAGATTCGGCACAAACTTCCTCATGCTGCAACGACTTCGGGAGTGCGAGGGGGTGTTGCTAGTGATTGTTTTCAACCCGCAGTGGGATGACTCTCCATGGGATCGAACCGCATCGACACGGGCTCGATCGTGCAAGGAGCTCATATGAGACCCATTTATGCCCTCATGCTGCCCATGGATTGGTGGTTGACTGTGGAGCGGGCATGTACCTTGCTCGAGCCTGTTTATTTCCTCATGAAGTCCATGGACAGAGACGGGAGGATGGGTATGCACATGTGGTCTTTGGAGATCACGTTGGGGAAGAGAATGACCATGCTGCCCATGGATTGTGAGACAAGGCAGTTCGGGATGGCGAAGGTGAAAGACTGTGTGCGGATGATGGCTCTCCCCGTGCATGGAGCGGCTTGCACCCGCTCCACCGATCAGCTCGATTGTTTGACGACTATGCGTCTGAGGAGATCACAAACACTTTGACTCACTTTGCTTCGGTTCACCCGAAGAATTCGAAGGAGTACAAAGAATGTTGAAACTCCCTTAAGAGTTTCCATTACATGGATATGGAGTGGCCTGGCAAGAACTCTGAGGAGCTTTGACATGCGAGCATGTGTCTGTGGCGTAGTGGTGACTGACTTATGGGAAGAAGCACCCAACCCTGACAAAGATCGCAGTCAAAGTGCTCAGCATGTGGACCACAACCTCTCCATGTGAGAGGAAGTGGTCAACGTTCGACCTCATTCACACGAAGAGGAGAAATTTGTTGAGCCAGGAGAACCTGCAGATGCTAATCTTCATCCAGTGGAACAAGCAGCTGCTGCGCATGTCAAGGGCAAAGATGGGATTTGTCAACACTGAGCGGCTCGAGTGGGAGACACCAAAGGACGAGGCACCTTTCAATGGTTTCATGCGAGACGGGGAGTACGACCCCGCAAAGGTGAAGAGGAGGGCCGCTAATTGGTCCAAATCTCGCGCCCGCAGATCGAAGGGCACCAGATTCGATGTTCGCAAGCTTTTGGAGGAGAGGGTGGACGACGAGGCATGGCTCCTTGATCTTTCCTTCCGCACTCGCCGTGTCGCGGACGACGACCACGGGAAGAGCGTTGTTGCTGATGATGATGACGAGGAGGAGAGTCACGACAACGAGGGTGACGGTGAGTTACTCGAAGTGCGGCTCACAAACATTTGGTCCACCAGGCGCTCGGGGAGTGGCTCATGTTCCGCTAGACACAACGACATCACGCCGCCGGCGGTCCTTGCATCCGGCGGGCCTTCGAGGGCTCCTTGGTGTCATTGTCGGACGACGCCGGTGTGCGTACACGATGACGGAGCTCTGCGTGAGGGGGTGTGGCTACGGTACAGGGCACCAGCACACTTTCCGGCGCACAACTCACCCCTCGTCGGCGAGCTGTGCTCGAGGAGATACCCACGGGCCGCGGGACGACATACAGGGGTTCGGTGGACGATCACGGGGACAATGTTGCGGTGGAGGTTGATGTGGATTTTGGTGGCACTGCGGAACATGCGGACGGAGACATCGGTGCGGCCATGGACGACCCGGTTCCTGACACAGCGGAGGTCACTGAGGCTGCGGGCGAGGATGTGTTCTCCACTCCCGACCCGAGGTTGGGGCTGGGGGAGGGGTTCACCTCCCTATTGCACCACGTTGCCCCCATTGCGTCGAGTGGCTCCAACAAGGACTTCCGTGAACACCTGTCTGTGATGTCCCCAATGCGGATTGATTTTGAGGAGCAGACTCCTGATTGGGCCAGATTCACTGGACAAACCCCACCCGGTCTACAGTTGAGCGAGGACATTCCTACAGAGGTCGGGGAAGGATCACAGGACATGGTCTACAGTTGGAGGACCCGAGCTGTTGAGGTTGGAGGGCCTGACTCACCACAACATGTAGCTGCGCTATGTGCATCAGTGTCGCCGCCCGAAATCGATGCCAGCAAGGTGCACCAAGTGAGGAGTTTGGCGGGCAGAAAGAAAGGAGGGAAGAACAAGCCGAAGGAGACAGAGGCACCGACGACAAGCAGTGGAAGAGGCAAGGGACGCAAGACAGTCATCCCTCCAGCGACCTTGAAAGAAAAGCATGCTGTTGTTCGGCAGCCGAAGACGAGTAAGGCATGAAGAGTTCAAAAGAAAGTCACCGCAGTAGTCTCTAACAAGACATCCGAAAAAGAAGAGGAAGCCATCATGAGGACAATGAGTCTAGCAGCAGGAGCGCTTCATCTTCCGCAGAGGAACACGAAGCGCCGGCAAGTTCATCGACGGACGTGTGGATTCCGGCAAGTTCATCGACGGATGTGTCGTCATCGACCGGCACCAGTAGCAGCACAGAGAGAGAGAGAGAGAGAGAGAGAGAGAGAGAGAGAGAGAGAGAGAGAGAGAGAGAGAGGATGGGAAAGATAGAGAGGTTGAGAGACAGAGCGGGTGAGAGAGGGAGAGACACCTTCTCGTCTGTGTCCTCCATGTCTTGGGTGGATTCCGTTTAAGCTGACTTCACGGACATACTGGACAGTCAGACTATAATGAAGTGTAACAAGTGTTGCTTTTCTGCAATTGCAGTGTCGATTGCGTGGACTCGTGTCTTCTTCTTTTTTTCATCTTTCTTTTTCCGTCTGTGTCACTGTGATTCCCGGCTGCTATTGATTGAACCGTGTATAAGGCTGTATCAGCCTGTATGAGCCTCTATGAATGTCGACGGTCATCTGCCAACAGAATCCCCGAACACCCCTGCGGCCCTGCCCCCAAACACGAAAGCAAAATGTCGAAATATGCAGTGAAACCGTTACCTGCATCAACCCCCTCTGAGCCCTCGAACAGCCCCTCGTGAGCATGAAACAGACACCCCCAGGACCTCCCCCCGCCCGCCACACAGACCCCCATTTGTTGCCGCCCGAAATCAAGGTGCGCCAAGTGAGGAGTTTGGCGGGCAGAAGGGGACAGCGGCACCGACGACAAGGGGTGGAAGAGGCAAGGGACGCAAGACAGTCACACCGCCAGTGACCTTGAAAGAGAAGCATGCTGTTGTTCGGCAGGTGAAGAAGAGGAAGGCACAAAGAGTTCAAAAGAAAGTCACCACAGTGAAAGACATCCGAAAAAGAAGAGGAAGTGAGTGCAAGAGGACGACGAGTCTAGCAGCAGCAGCGCTTCATCTTCCGCAGAGGAAATCGAAGCGTCGGCAAGTTCATCGACGGACGTGTCGTCTTTGACTGACCCGTCACCATCAACGGCACCAGTAGCAGCAGCGAATGTGTGTGTGTGTGTGTGTGTGTGTGTGTGTGTGTGTGTGTGTGTGTGTGTG